CTTGGACATACACTATGTTATTGCAAAGATGCGCAAATACTTCTGTACGAAAATACAGGTTTTCTAAAACTTTTAGTTTATAAAAGCATTTTGTATCTTCTCAAAGATTAAAATTTTTTTCATAGAACTCCAGAGTAAATGTCGTTCTTAGGAATTTTCTATCGAAAATGATGTCTTCTTTTTTTTTTCATCAGTTTTATTTTTGTTAGAAAATAAGTCATATTTCATAATATTGTTTGTTGTGTCTCAGCTCTAAAATTCTTGAATATTTAGATATCTTAAAAGTCCCGAGAACTTCTATTGTAACAAGAAATTTAAGTAAAACAAGAAAAAAATCATAATAACATACAAAAACAATATCAAGATTTGGTTGAAGAATATCTGATATAAGACGTTTAGTTAATTCTTCTTCTGTTGTACCATCAAAACGATTTGGATTTGTTGATGGTGTTGAAGATTTTCTTTTATTACTAATATTAGTATTTTGTGATTGTGGTGATGGTGATGGTGAAGTATTTTTATTAAATATTGATGACATTGGTGGTAATAATGGTGATGATGAAGGTGATGAAACAACATTCATTACAGGTGATATCATTGTATTTGAACATGTTGATCCTATTGAAGTTTGTGATGAATGAATTTCTGTATTGACATTAACTCTATTTAAATAACATAAAAGAGAAAAAAAAAACGCAAAATTAATAATTTCCTTTTTTTTTATTTGTAATTGAAAAAGAAATATTTATTATAATATACTCATGAGATTTTGCTTCATTTTCTGAATCACGTTTGAGTGATTGTCGTAATTTTGCAAGAAATACTTCTGCAACTTCATCTGAACCTAATGTACTTTTTAAATCACTATAGAAAAAAAACAAACAAAAAAGAGCATATAATACAAAAATTTTATTTCTATATTTTTCTTGAAATAATTCTTATATTACTTAAGATCACCGCCTGATTCCAAATTTTTTTTAAATGTTTGCATTAAAACATTTTTTACACTATCTAATGCTTCATCTAATAATTCTTTTGTATGACTAAAAGAAAATTAAAATTAATTTTTTAAAAATATACAATAAAACAAAAAAGAAAAAAAAAACGAATTCATTTACGTTTCAACAATTTGATCTGTTGTTGGTTTTGGTTGAGATATTTGATTATTATTATCTGTATTAAAATTTGATAACATATTTGTTATATGTGGTGTTGTTGATGATTGTACACTTAATGGTTTATTATATAATGAATCATTATGACCATTGGTATGTAATGTTTCAGAATAATTTATTGATGATATATCATTTATTGTTGAACAATTTTGTTGTTCATTTATTAAATATTCTGTTGACATTGATGAATCAATTGAATTTTTACTTGTTATTAATTCACCATTTTCATTTTTTTTAAGTTTAATTAATAATTGTCGATTTGTTTCATTTTCAACTATTGGCGGAATTCTAAATAAATAAATAAATAAATAAAAAAAAAAAAAAACGATATACAACATGAATACAAGATAGATATGTATATATTGAACTATGTATATGCATATGTGTTTTAGCCAATTGTGTTCGTTGACAGGAGGAAAGAAAATAAACGGGAGAGAAGAAGAAGAAGAAAGAAAAGAAGGAAACCGTACATTCCAACTCAAACAAGCCGGATATGTGTATATTTGCCTAAGTATATAAGCACATAGAAGAGAGAGAAAAAAAAATGTGTAGAAGGTCTATATATTTAAAGGTGAAAATATCAAATTACCCATTCAATGAATTTGTAGTTGCCATAGCTAAACTATCTCGACGAATTTTAAGAACTAATGGTGAAGTTAAAGATTGTTCAGTTGTTATACAATGTTCTTGTTGTGTACTATTTAAAAACAAAATGAAAAAAACAAAACATCAATAACTTTTTTTTTGTAGAATGACATACTCCATAACTTGTTTCTCTTGTTGACTAGACATGTAATCATTATTTAAGTCAGTATTTGATCTAAAGCACAGAAAGAAAAATTATATACATATGATTGTATATGGGTTTTTATTCAATGAAAATTAAAGTATACAACAGAAATATATGAGTCTAATGGGCTTTATTTTTATAGGTGAATGAAAAGAACAAATCATTATATATACAAAAGATATGAAATTAGGGTCTCTTGTTTTGTTTTGCTCGAATGATTTTATATGATCATAGAATAGAAATAAAATCTATTAGTATTTTATAATCAATGAAATATTATAGAAATATTCAAGAATGTTTCAATGTCGTTAAGATTAGAGTGAAGCATTTCAATGATTCATGAAATCTATGAGAAGACTTTAGCAAAAAATTAATGCCGGATTTCCACTTGAAAAAAAAATGGAACTTTTTAAAAATAAGAGATAGTTATTTCCTCCCAATTTGCGACTGGAGATGTGCTCAATGAAGCTTTTTGGCTTCGAATCTGGTAATTTTAGTCTTTTTTTTGGGTGTCGACCTAGAGAAAACTATTTCTGAGTTTATTCGTATTGCATCTAACAAATTCTTTAAGACTCGTTTTTTTTGATTATTTTAGTGGACGATTAGCATGTTCGTGAATCATCTCTTTTGAATTATATTTTGATTGATGATTTAGAAAATAATTCGTTAGAAATCATAGGAAAGTTGATTTCGGTACGGACAAAATTTTTCTCATAGTTCTAATGTTTCCGTCAGAGAAAAAAAAAATTTCTCAAAATATTTCCTCAGATTCTAATACGTTTTCAAAAATTTCTCCGTACGGCTGTACACGCACACGGGTGGATTCTGCACCTCTGAGTCTCAGTTACAGCAACTTATGTTTTCTATGATCTCTGTTTCGCACATCTCGACTCGGGATATCTCTGAAAATAAGATTTAGTTTCTTTTTGTATCAACTATATAAATCAATGGATGGTATTTTTTTCAGCAAATGTGAATAATACATTATTGAATGGAATTTGTAACTTACAGTTAGATCTTATAGTGCCAGAGAAGACTCACAAATTCGATATAGCAAATGTTAGATTAATGATTCAAAGAAAACGTAATAAAATATAAAGATCCGTAAGATCGTATTTTGAAAATATTAAAAACTGGACAAAATTCAATGTATTGTAATGTTTTGAGAGAAAAAAAAGTATTGATTTTAGAATTTTTCTTTTAATAAAGATTCTTAAAAAGTATCCTCATTAGATGAGTATCTGAGCTCGATGAATAATATTGACTTGATATTGTTTACTTACATGTTATTACTAACATTATCATTTGACAATGATTTTTTACTACGTTTAGCTGGACGAGTTATATTTTCTGACGAAATTGAACTAAAATAGTAATTAAATTAAATAAAAGTAGAATAAAATAATTAAATTCTTTTTGTTTTAATTATATACTCTGAATATTCTTCATCATTATGATCAACACCACCATTAAGAAATGGAGTTTTTAATTTGACGCGAAGTGTTGAAGGTGACGTTGTTATAAGACCAGTACTTTCATTATTTCGAATGATTGATGATGATGAAATTGGAAGTCCATCATTGATAGTTTCTGTTGATAAATGACTATTAACAAATAGAGAAAAAAAAAGAGAAATTAAACTAATAATTAATTTATAAAAAAAAATATTATTAGAAATATTTACGATGTATGAGGAAGTATGACATCTGGATGATGATCGTCATATTTTTTCAATTTTAAAACTATCGGTGCTGGTGCTGTTTGTGTTCTATGAACAAATATAAAAAATTATAAATATCAATTGTAGAAAAATGGACGAAAAGAGAAATATCTAAGATATAGAAGAAACTCTAATGTTTAGATTTTATTTTAACAAGGATAAGAGGTTTCAGATAAGTTGAAATCTAATAAGATTTTCATAATTATTATTCATTGTATGTATGTTGAGAACATACAACTGTTTGTTAAAGCTAAATAGTATTATGAGTTTTACATCGAAAAGCTCATTGGAGTTTTTACAAGGTTTTTTTCTTTCCTTTTCATTAATATCAATCAATTCTGTTCGACAAAATCCTACTTCACATCATAGCAACTATGACTTAATCATAATCTATTCACTACTTCAAGAATATATTCTGTCTCAATTATTCAAATGCATGAAGTATTCAAAAGATAAAATTTTCATAGTAACATAAAACTTCAGTAAAAGAAAAAATTCTATAATGTTTCTAATTTGAAAACTTCTTGATAATGATTTATTGAAAAAGCAAAAATTTTTTAAAATTTCTTACGTTAATTGATCATTCATATTGACTTTTTGTTGTTACTATCAAACACCAATTTGATTTGTTATACTCATAAGATAAACAGAAAAATCTCGATATAAATTTAAAAAATTTCTCTCTTTTTTTGACATTAGCAATAATGATGATTGTAAATATATAACATAAATAAACAAAACACCATAGAAAAAAAAAAGAATCAAAATCTGAATAAAAATGAAATGATTGGTCAATTTAAAGTAGCAAACAAAAAAAAAAACAAAAAATTGATTGATCTTTTTTTCTCGTAAAAGTAAAGAAAACGAAGTAAATCGTTCTCTTTTCTTTATCCATATTTTAACTAATGTCATATTAACAACCATATCCAATAATTATTGAACTCTATTCATTAATGTATATGTGTGTATGATAGATGGTGCTTGAATAATAAGAAAAAGGTGAAGAAAGAAATTTTTAACCAAACATTATTCAGAAAAAAACAAAAAAAAAAGATTGTTTCTTCTTTATTGTTTACGTAGAACATAGAAGTCTATCGGAAAAATGATCAATGGGTAAATTTTTCTTATAAATACGAAGGTAAAAGCTGAATCTGATTCATAGTCATATCGTTCTCTTCTTTTCATCGTCGACAGGCACATATATATATATATATATCCACGTGAAATTACGGAGGACATTTTCTTCGGTACTTACTTTATGATTTTTTGTTTCTTTTTTACAGATGATTTTTGTTATTTATCTTTATTAACAAATATGAAAATTGATCGATCAAAATTAAAAAAATATCTACCGGAACCAGTGAGATATTTTAATTTTTTTGAATATTTATAAAATCATTGTTTGTTTATTTGTTTGTTTTTTTTTTGATAGCCGGCTGATTGTAAATTATTTATTGATAAATTAAAAAGTTGTGATCGAAAAGAACTTCATGACCTATTAAAACCAATCACCATTTGGCATATTGGAAAAGTAAGTTGTTGACCAAATTATTTTGAGAAATTTAATTCAATAATTTCCTTTTTCTCGACACTCAATTTTTATAGTTTACCAAAGTTAGTTGATCTGTTTCTTGTTATTATGCAATTATTTGTTTTTTTTTTCCTTCCTTATGTTAAAAATAGAACATGTATCTATTTTCTTGTTTATTATTTTCTAGTGTGAACTATATCATTGGATTGATGCATTGGATTTATTTGATTCAATTTTAGAAGAAGCCTGTATTAAAACGGGTACATGGATGCTCAATTGTGACAAACCAGAAAATGGAGAGGTTTGTTGTTTTTTTTTTTGATACATTAGAAATACGCAATAGGTCAATAAGCACCTTTCTTTTTATACAACCTAGGCTAATTAATTGCAATCTAGATTTTATTGAAAAAAAAATTTTTTTTTCTAAATAGTTTACGAGATGATTCCTTAGCATATTCAATTATAGACAATATAACTACAAAGTATGATAAAGTTAGAGTTTCATTGATTGAAATTGCTTAGAGTTTTCGATTACTAGTGAATGAATGTTTATTATCTGAAAGTATTTTTAAAAAGTAGGAGTCGATTATTGAGCATCTTTTATAATAGGAGAGGATGACAAAAAAAAAATATCATTTTGTATTTGTCTGAATAATTAATGAAAAGACTCTGGTCTATCAAAATCTAGGTCATAGTCAATAATTTTGACATTTATCAATAGTTTCGTTAAGATTTGACTAAAATTGATTAGAATATTTTCTTTATTCTCTCATCCTTTTGTTTGTTAATTGATAAACTTTCCTATGTAGAATATAAATATATATAAAAGAAACAAGTTGACTTTCTGAAAAATCTTCTTTAACTGAAAGAATTTAGTTATGACGCGTCAATGAATATAGTTTTCTTCTTCGTGAAATTATTTTTTTTTTCGTATTTAGTTAAAAATCTTAGTGCTTGATATTCTTCATTTTACGGCGTTATTAATTGAACATTCATATTCTCGTCATTTATATAATTCAATTGAATATTTAATTATGTTATTACAATCATCTGATGTACATATTGTACTTGGTGTTCTATCACTTCTATATGTATTCAGTAAACGTTCAAATTTTATTACAAGACTTCAAATTGATAAAAAACAAGCATTAATTGGTCGACTTATTTTCTTAGCTGAAGTAAGATTTTCTTCTATGAAATTATTTATTATATTTCTTTTTTTTGTTTTTTTTAATTTCAGACCTGGGGTGGACGAGAGAATGGTTTCGATTTAGCTCGTTGTTGTAGTGTTCGAAATCCATCAGTAAATATCGATAGTTTTCATTTTTTTTTTTATCCTATAAAAAAAACCTAATAAAATCCTAAATCATGATTTCAATAGCCCATGGAATTTTCTAATAGTAAAGTCTAATGATAAAGTTAAAACTATTACAAGAATCGAAAAAAAAGGCATCTGTTAATTGATAACGAGTGAGTCAAAAGTTCTGAGAGATAATATGTGTTTATTCTCTTGAAAATGTTTCCGACGAATCGAAAGCTATCGATTAGGACGAGCATATTGAGTACTTTCCAAGTATGATCTTAGAAATTTTATCTTAGTTTTTGTTCGAGACTAGTAATGAAATTTTCGAAAAGGGCAAAAAAAGATTAGATTGAATAGTGAATCAATAGACTTTTGCTAATCTCTACAAGTTCATTTTTTAAGATGCCAAAAAATATTCAAATCGATTATTTTATTGAATGGACACTTCTTTACAAAATGTAATATTCAACTAAGCTACAGGCTTATATTTAAGCAAAACTTTAAGCACTTTGTAAAAAGCTCCTTTTGAGTCAAAAATGAAAATTTTTGGAGAAATCAAAGCCGTAATAGGCTGCAAAAAAAAACTTCCATAATACAATTTTACAGAGTAGCTTCTGCTATGCAACCGGATATATTAGTAAGTGTCAATATTTACTGTCGATCTCGAGTAATGAAACTAGAAAAATGTACCGAAGAATTTTCTCTAGGTCCTAAAAAAGATCATCCTATTGATGTCAAGAATACTTCTAAACCTACGTTCCTAAAGAAAACAAAGTTTTGGTCCTAATCCATAGCTTTTAAGGCCTCGGGAACATTTTCGACTCATTCATTAGGTTTCTTTTTTTTCCAAACGATAATATTAAAACATAATCTTCTAGAGTCTAGATTGCATCCAGTTGTTTTTTTTTGTTTTACAAAATTTCATCAGCTAATAAAATGCTCCATCCGAACTTTAATTAGGCGCTTTACATTATAGCAAAAAATCTTAGAAATACGATGTTGTTGAAGATTTCTCATCAGGTTACATATGCATGGATTTTTTTTTGTTATATAGGATTTTCCTGAACATGCAACAAATCTACATTTTGCTTATACAGTGCCATCAGAATCAACATCAAATAGTGGACCAACATTGGTAAAAAAAAAAAACAACGATTTTTTTTTCTTTCTCTATGATATAGACTAAAATTTTTCTTTTATTAGCAAATTTCAAAACAAATCGATATACCTAATGTTCATTCAGCTGGAATTAATGCTGCTGCTGTAATGGAAATGGTTCTTGCTGAACATCCATTACCAGAAGATAAACAAATAAAATTATTTACACATCTTCGTTTAGCTTATGCATTTCCGTCATTTGATCAACGTTTATTATGTATTCAAGCACGACTACAAGCATTATCTATTCTTAGTAAAAATCATTGATTAAAACTTGTCTATTTAAAAAAGAATATATTTTTCTTTTTCTTTGTAGTTTATTCTTCAGGAATGCAAGAAGCAAATAATGTTTTATATGATGGTTTAATTGAAGAACTTGTTGAAGTATTAAATGTTCGTGATCCAACATTAACAGTATGTTTATAAATAAATAAAATATATAAATATATTCTCGTTGTATTTTTTTTTTAAATAAAGGATATAAAAGCTTCAGCATTAAAAACTTTAACATCAATAATTCATCTTGAACGAACAACAAAGTAAATTTTATATTTTTTATAATATTATATTTTTATTTATTTTTTTTAGACATCCACCACGTTTACAAGAAATAATTGAAACAACACAAGCTAATTCATATCATGGATTTTTACCAGCACTTGTACGACAATGTATTGATAAATTAACTGGTAAAATCAATTTTTGATTGAAATATAAAAAGAAACAAAAATACGTAATTCATTTGTATATTTTTTAGATGATAGTAATGAAAGATTTCCTCAATCATTATCAACAGCATTATTTTCATTTCTTTATCATTTGGCATCTTATGAAACAGGTGGTGATGCATTAGTTAATTGTGGTATAATGCAATCATTAATTAAAGTTGTTAATTATTATGATGAATCTCAAGACTTTATTATGGTAAAAATAAAAATCAAGAAAAAAAAAATATTTATTTATTTATTTTTTCTATTTTAGTTTGTTACTCGTGCTGTTCGTGTTATTGATTTAATTACATCATTAGATATAACCTCATTTCAAACAAATAATGGTTTACAAGCATTTATTAATCGTTTAGAAGTGAGTTTATTTTGATTCATATGTTCTAGTCATAAGAAAACAAAAGGTCTCATGTACAAGCTCCTATCGAAGCATTTCTATGATATTAGTGATTAGAAGTGTCAATGTGAGAGCAAGAATAAAAATATATCTAATAAGAACGGTCGCAATTTATATATCTATTAAATGTATAAATAGCATTACCAACTTATTGAACAAGAATTATTTTTTTCATAGCTATGGGAAATATATGCAAAAAAGTTTTTTTTTTTATCATGGTTGAATAGAGCTTGTCAAGTTACTTATAAAGGACGTATTCATACAATGTTTTTGTAGTGACATGTGGGAGAATCGAATTAAGATCTTTGAAAGTGGAATTTTGCCTATAGATTGACGTTATAGCTCTTAAAATTTCAGCCTAAAGCAATGTTACTTTTGAGATATTAACTTTTCAGAAAATCATCATGTGTTATGTGGAGGGGTTAGAAGGTTGAGTGGTTTCAACATTTAATATCTCGGGAACAGTGAATTGCTCGAGGCTGAATTTTTTTGATTCAATATTTTTAAATTTTGTCGGAGCATATTTATGATCGAAATATCAGTTCGATCCTTGAATTTCATCAGGATATTTTTCATCGTAAGACAAAATTCTGAATCAAATGATATACTTAATACTCAAAACAAAATTTTCCTCAAATTTCAATCTTCACTAGTGATAAGTGTGACCAATTGTTTTTGGTTTCGGAAGAAACAGAAGTAGGATTCAAGTCGTTTCGCCCATATCGAGGTCTTACACTCCCTTAGCATTATTTTTGAACACTGACACATATGCTTCTCCCTAAGGTCAAAATTTGACGAAAATTAGTTTTGACTATTAAGTACACTATTCAATACCAATTCTTATTCTGCTTCTAAGTGTTTTATACATTTCATTGAGAAATGAAGATCATCCGTATTTACGGTTTTTTTTCACTATCTTATAATAAAATTTGGATAATTATTGAAACTTGATACTTTTGACATTCACTACAAAAAAACAACACTTCTATAAATAATAATCTGGCGAGTTCTATCTAACTATGATAAAAAACAAATTTTTTCTCGAAATTGAAAATCGATAAAAACCTTTATCAAATAAATAAATAAATTTTAGCATGAAATAACACAATGTCGAAAAGAACAACCATTTATAATTCGTATACCAAAACGTACACAAGGAACACCAACAACAAATCTTGATACACATCCACCATTATCACCAAGTGCACGATCAGATATATCTGGTGAACATCCAACATTAACAGCAACAACACCAAGTCATGTATCTAGAGATATGGATACAAGTGAACTTTTAGATGAAAATCATGAATTAATGCCAAATAGTCCAGTACCTGGTTTAACATGTTATCATCAACGTGCTGCATTACTTAAATCTATATTAAATTATTTAAAACGAGCTTTTACTGAACCAACAATGGCCGATACAACACGTCATATAATGGATGGTTCATTACCAAATTCTTTAAAACATATAATAAGTAATGCTGAATATTATGGACCATCATTATTTCATTTAGCAACTGATGTTGTTACATCATTTATATTTCAAGAACCATCACAATTATCATCATTACAAGATAATGGTTTAACTGATGTATTAATGCATGCACTTTTAAAAAAAGATGTACCAGCTGCACGTGATGTTTTAGCATCATTACCAAATATATTTAGTGCATTATGTTTAAATACACGTGGTTTAGAAAATTTTATGGAATATAAACCATTTGATAAATTATTTTGTGTTTTATTATCACCTGAATATTTACCAGCTATGAGACGACGACGTGGTAATGATACACTTTATGGTACAGCATCAAGTCTTGGTAATGCTGTTGATGAATTAATGAGACATCAAGTTAGTTTACGTACAGAAGCTATGAAATCCATAATAACATTACTTGAACAACTTGTTGAATTAGGAAATAATCCTAAATATTGTTGTCAAAAACCACATTCATCATCATCATCAACAACAACAACTAAATTAACAGATACAATACGTACACAACATCGTACTGTACGTACAACAAATGCAACAAATACAAATACAGGTGGAAATGATAGAAATTCATCTGATGATGAATATGATGATGATGAAGCAACAAATGATGAAGCACCATTAGCTAATCGATCAGTACAATCACAACAACAGCAACCACCATTAACAACCACAGCTACAACTACAACAGCAGCAACGACTGAAACAACAACAAATATTCCAATAGTACTTAATCAAACATTATTAAGTGAAAAAAAATCAGAAGATGAAACTGCTCCAATAGCTGTACCATTACTTGATTATATAACAAATATCATGCGTTTTGTTGAAGGTGTTATTAGTAATAATACAACTGATGATCATGGAAAAGAATTTGTTAAATTAGGTGGTTTAAAACCTTTACTTGATATTTTACAAATGAAAAATTTACCTATTGATTTTCCATCAAGTCCAGCTTGTCAATGTGTTGCTGCACTTTGTAAATCAACACTTGTAAGTTTATTTACTTATTAGAAAACAAATTAAAAGCTTTATGTATTTTGTTTTTATTTTAGACTCTTTTAGTAAAAGATAATAAATTAATTGAAATGGTTATAACAAATCTGGATACAATATTAAATTCTTTAACAGATTTTTATTCAAATCGTACATATGATGGTTCATTATTAATTGAAGAATTAGCATGTGCTGTATCATCATCAACAACGGTATCAATTGATCCAATGGATGCTATTAATCAATCATCATTAACACCTATACTTCATCAATTATCTATTGTACATTCTCATATATCGTTATTAATATCATTATGTAAAATAACACAAAATGAAGTACGTAGTATATTAATTAGTTTTTGGGGTACAGAAACTGGTATACGTGTATTAAAAAATTTAAATAAATTATGTTTAACATTAATATGGGAAAGTTCAATATTATTATCATTATGTTCATCGGATACAAATATAATTGATCAACAATTTAATAAAAATGATTTATTAAAACTATTTCCCTTAATAAATGATTTAACAAATACAATATCACCATTACAAAATGTTTCAACACAATTAAATGATTTAACAACAAATGAAATCACACGTACATTTGATATTGATGAAATTATGTCAATGGATACAAGTGATTTTACTAAATTAAAATTAAAATTATCATTTAATATACAACAACGTATTAAAACAATAAAACCATTATTATGTGTTTCATCTAAACTTGGTCGTGCATTAAGTGAACTATATAATTTACTTGTTAAACAATGTTCAACATCACAATTAAGACATGCAAGACGTTTTAATCAACCACCAACACCTTATATACCGACAGCAGCTGCAAAACTTGTTGCATCAACATTGACTGAAGTGTTACGTGATGGATTTTTATTTCATCTACCAGGAAATGTTAATCTATCGGAAAGTCAAATTGAAAAATTTCGATTAACATTTTTTGTTTGCACAATAGGGTAAGATATTTAACTTATTTATAATAGACTTATCAAATAATAAACAATGATCATACTACATAATCATATTATTTAGAAAATCTTTTTTGAGTTTTCAATGAATTTCTAAAAAAATGTTTTATTTAGCATTGGGCTAAGGAAGCGGTGCTCCTTCGAAGATCTTACTAACAATACGTTTGGACCCATTGAAGCATTGAAATACACTATCCCCAAAAAATTTCGATCGAGTTACTATCTTAATGTCTCAGCGAACGGAGATGTCAATATAGTAGAAAAAAACGTTAGATCATCAAATAAATACGAGACTTCTGCTATTAAATTGTCGAGACTAGAGATGCCACATATTTCAGCACTTAAACAAAACAATATTTTACATATATGCTAAAATCTTTAATCTCAAGAAAAAAAAATGAACACTACTCAATATAGATTTAAGAATATTCGTACATATCTGATGATATAATGGTTTCAGTTCCATTCTCAACTCTATTTTTTTTTCCAAAGCGCCGAATTTTACAAAACAGTTAGTGACTTACCGTTTAGTATTTACACCAATATTGCTCATGCCTATCTTCAATACTAGAACTATAGGAATGTGATAATAAAATTAAACGTATTTTGTTTTTATTTAGTTTTGCTACTCCTATGTTATTTGATGAACGTCGTCGTCCTTATATGTTGATGTTACAGCAATTTGAATTATCTAAAGCTCAAGATGCACTTTTTTCTTCACTTGAATGGACACTTGATTTAATTAATCGTCAATCATTAACAACCGATGATCAACAAACATCATCACAAACTAATAATACATATGATGCATCACCAACTGAATTTCTTAATTCAGCATTAATGCTTATATTACGTTTAGTTAATGTTAAATCTATTCTTGATTCTCCACATTCAATACCTAAAAAACCACAAACAGAACGTAGTTATTTTATTCCATTTAATCCATTACATTATTTAGCTTTAACACATAAATGTGCATTTCATATATTAACAAATTCATGTTCTGTTCTATGGGATAAACCATATTTATTAAAAGATCATGCAACAAAAATAATCGATAGTATATTATCAATATTTTGTCATATATTACGTGGTGAATCACAAATACAAAAAAAATTACAAGAAGAAGAACAACAACAGCAACAACAACAAAATTTAACAACAACAGCAGCATCGACAGCAACATCGTCATCAACGGTCATGCCAGCCAATGACATAACTCAACAACAATCAAATACAGATACTGATCTACCTGGTTCATCAGCATTAATACCAAATGCATCAACACAATTAAATGAAGATCTTATACAATCTATAACAATGATGGGTTTTTCACGTGAACATGCTATTGAAGGTTTATTACAGACAAATAATAATCTTGAATTAGCTGTTGATTATTGTGTTAATCATCCACAAGCTGTTACAGCACCACAAACACAAACAAATCTACCTGATATGGATGCTGATATGGCACGTGCTTTATTATTATCATTAGGACAAGATGTTGATGAAGCATCATTAGCTAATCCAATAGCTGCATTAGCTGCATTATCAAGAGAAAATAATAATATAAATGAAATAACTTCAGCATTATCTTCAAATTTACCAACAACAACACCAACAACAAATATAGATTCAACAGTACAAAATCAAACATTAGTTGAAAATTTAAATCAACAAAAATCTTCACCTATTATTGAATCATTATCAAAAGAATCTGTTGATCGTTTTACAGATTCAATTATGTTAAAAATTCTTGATATATTACCTGATACTGTCTATAAAATGTGTGAACTTGTTGTAACAACTATGCACCGTAATGGTATAACATGGCGTGATCATTTTCTTGAAATAATAGCAAATGATATAAAAACAAGTTATTTATATTTAATTGATTTATTAGATAAAAATTATTTAAATCAACAAAATGATGAACAATCAATATTAGTATTTTTAAATGATCATCAAAATTCTGTTTTATTTAGTCGAACATTATTAATGTCATTATTATTTGAAGAAATGCCATTTCCATGTGCACGTATAGCTGAAAAATTTTCATTAATTAATTATTTTTGTATATTAATACATCGTACAACGGATTATTTAATTAAATTTAATGAAAAGAAAACACCAACATGGTTATCACCTGTATTTATATTTATTGATTTATATGAAAAAGTATCATTAGCATCAAAACGTCGTTCAATTATAAATCAAAATTATCGTAATTATAATCGTGTATGGCAATGGTTTGATGAACGTGCTGTTAAATGGAATAATTATTCATTAGCACATAATAAACAAATTGATGATGCATATGCTAATGGTGAACCATCATGTAAAATAGTTATACAACGACGAAATTATCTTATACAATTTAATACAATGTTACAAACAAATGAAGATACACATAATAAACGACCAATAATGCTTACATTTACAAAACCAACACCAAAAACAAATACAGATAGTTCAACACAAGTACCACCACCACCACCACCAACATCATCATCATCATCAAGAATATTTTCAACATCGGATACAAGTGATGATGATGACGACGATGATGATCATGATCATCATCATCAACAACATGGACAAGGTGTTGCAATTAATTCCAATGATACAAAAATGGAAACAGACCAACAACAACAACAACAACAGCCACAAGAAAATGATATAACAACAATATCAATTATTGAATCATTAGCTGATGATCATGCATTATTATTAACAAGTGATTGTGTTTATTTAATACGTATGCCTGTTGATCCTGATGCTATACATGCATTATTACGTCTTATATTACGTTTAACACGTGATTATAAATATGCACGACAATTTGCTCAATCAGGTGGTATACAAGCTATATTAAGTTTAACACAAGCATCATCATTTCAAGGTTGTGCATCATTAATAACATTAATATTTCGTCATATTATGGAAGATGATAGTAATTTACGTTTAGCTATGGAAAAAGCTATACGTCAAGCATTAACTGGTAATCATGGTGTATCAATTGGTGTACAACCAGCATGTCCTGGTTCACATGAACTTAATGTTATTTTACGTATACTTGGTCCAGCTATGACACGTGCACCAGATATATTTTTAGATGTTGCATCAAATGTTTTACAATTATTACCACCATCAGCTAGTCGTTTAGCTGGTTCATTAAGTCGTTTTACAAATCCATTTTTAACTGAGGATGATCATCATACACAAACAAATTTACCAATGGGTCCATTAATATTACAAGCACGACCAGCAACAAGTCAAACAACAACATCCGAACAAAATTCACAAATACGTACAACACGACCAATAACAACAACAACCACAACAACAACTACAGCTGATACAGTTGGAGAATTAGCTGAACGTTTATTAGTTGATTTACTTGATTTTCTTTTAACAAATGATGATAATAATAATAATAATAATAATTCAAAACGTTTATTATCTAAATCAACTGTTTTACGTATATTAGCTGAATTAATACGTTCATATGCAAATGTTGCTAAACTTGTATCAACAAAAACATTTCAATTACAAGATAATCAAACATGTTCAGCATTATCCTATATACTTGATAGTTTATTACCGGGTACAAATAATCAACAAATTGATTATGATAAAGATATACCAGCATTATGTCGTCTATTTCTTGTTGCTATGGCTGCATGTAATCATTGTTTAGAATCACAAATGAATTTAGTTAATGAAGTTAAAATGTCATTAAATAAAATTTTAATTTTACCTGAATGTGATGAAAAACATATGAAATTACAAGCATTAGCTAATATAATTAATACAATGATTGAATCATGTCCAGCACCAAATACATCAGCACCACAACAAGGACAACATCGAATGTCACAATCAATTATAAATAATATGATTAAAATTATGTATAAACGTGGTCTAATTAATGATTTAGCTAAAATGATTCATAGTATTGAATTATCAAGTCCAAAATTAGCTGATACTGTTAATGCTGTACTTAAACCAATGGAAACATTATCACGTGCAATTAATTATGCAACATCATTACATGTACAAAGTGGTACACGTCCACATACAACAAGACATCCAACAACAGCAACAACAAATGAAACAAATGCTACAACGACTATTCCATCATCATCATCAACAACAACAGATTCAACAGTACCTATTCAAGAACAAACAATTATAAGAAATGATGAACAATCAACAACGACAACAACAACAACAACAACAATTGATTCATCTCGAACTACTGAACAACAACAACAAACGTCAACTGATTCAACACTTGTACCTATACAAAATGAAAACCGTTTATCAACTGATAATACAAATCTAAATAATAATAATACATCATTGAATTCAGCTAATCAAGTTCAATTAAGTATTAGTCAAGAAGAATTATTAAATGCAACGGATATGGAACCTGTTGCAGGCTTACCACAAGATGTTGATATATTTGAAAGAAATATTCATGGTGCAGCTAGACTTTCAACTGATGAAGAAGATGATGATGAAGATGACGAAGAAGTTAGTATTGAAGATGATGATGAAGATGAAAATGGTCCTGTTGGAACAATTAATGTACAATTTGATGTTACACATGCTCTTGATAATACACATGATAATGGTAGGTTTATTATATTTAAAAAAAATTCAAACTTTCATTTTATTTGGAATTTCTTGTATAAAAAAAAAAAGATCGAAAAGGAGTTTTGAGATAGTCATAAACCAACTCTTTCTGATCAGTCAAAGTATCTACATTGTCTTTCATATTTTAATCCTTGGGAGATTGTGCTAACAGACGTTTTTTTTTTGTTTTTTATATAAATAGCATCAAGTTCGAGTTCAACAACAACAAGTGCTGATCATGATGATGAAGAAGATGCTGAAGAAACTGATAGTCCTGATGAAGATATGGATATGGAAAATGGTAATGGAAATGATCGTGAACCACAACATCGGTAAGATTTTATAAATAATCTATGATGCGAAAGATTTGACAAAAAATATTTACTTAGGTTTCAGTCACTGAGAGGTAATCGGTTAGAACGAAAAACAAAATTAATTAAAATCAAATTTTCCTTCTTGAATATGATTTCTACTAAAGAGTTAGGTTCTAAGGAAATCATTATGACTCTTTTTAGAGTAAACAAAACTGAACCATTAAAAATTGTTTGATATTTTAAATATAATAGGCTTGAATTGAAATATGAAATTGTTCAAAAGTAATATTTCTGTACAAGCACTAAATTGAAACATTTTGATAATAATTGTCCAATCTAACTGACGAAGTAAATTCTAACTGCTTCTAGGTTTACCGTATTGTCTTTAAGTAACTGAAAAATGAGTGAATATTGTGTGTAAAGATATTTTTGTCATAAAATTTGAACAAAATATATGAAAAAATTTTGTTTTTATTGTAATAGCTATAGTGATGATGATGAAGATATCACAAGTGAAGAAGAAGGTGATGTCCGTTTAACAGGTATATAAAAATGCTTTGATCCGGTTTTCTTTTTGTTTTAATCAAATTGTTTTTTTTTTCATTCATAGGTCCAACATCATCAGGTGAACAACATGATGATGAACATGATGATGATCTTGATGAAGATAGTGATAATACTGAAAGTGATGAAACACATACGGGTGATGAATTAGATGAAACTGAAGGTCCTACAATTGATATACATATTGAAACAGCATCAAGTCAATCGACTGATGAAAATATGACAACTAATAATGAACGAACTGATCAAACAAATGAAGCAGGTGATAATATTAATGCTGATACAGCAAATAATAATAATAATCAAGAAGATGATGAAGAAGATGAAGACGAAGAAGAAGAAGATGAAGAAGAACAAGATGAAGATGAAGATGATTTTGCTGAAGATGATGATGCTGCTGCTGAAGATATTGAAGATATGGTTGAACGGTAGAGTTTTTTCTCAAATATCTTTTCTATTTATAATGAATTATTTATTCTTCTAGTGATATGGATGCAGCTAATGCTTGGCAAGATGATGATGATGAAGAAGAAGATGAAGATGATGAAGATGAAAGTACTGAATTTGAAGATGATGATGGTGATATTGCTGACTATGTCACTGAAATGGAACTTGATGAAGAAGTTCTTTCAGAAATTCGTAATAATCTTATGTCACCAACTGATATTGATCCCATTTTAATATCTAATCTTCAAGGTGTTCGAATTCGTGCAAGTGGTTATCCATCATTTCATGGTATCAATGATACAGGTTGAATTTTATCAAACACAAAAAGAAAAAAGAATTTTTTTAATAATTTAATTTAATTGTGTTTTTTTAGTTGATCCAGCTCTTCCACCGCCACCAATCAGTGTTCCTGCTCTACATCCATTACTTGTTCATCATGCTGATAATCAGTTAAGTTCTGGTGCTTTTTCACGTTTTCGCCAACTAGGTACCACAACAACCACCACAACAGCACCAAATCAAGCAAATATAAATGTTTTAACAACACAAGCAAATCCAGCATCAACATTAACATTTGGCCAACAAAATGGACCAACAATGCTTACTGGACAAACAGCATTAACTGTACAACAACAAATTAATCAACAAGCACAAAGAAATCGTATGTTGTTGCTGTTTTTTTTTTATAATTTTTTATTTCCATCTATTCAAACGTAATGACTAAATATTCATGTATTCATTATACAGAACAAAAGATCATACATATATATATAGAATACATTGAGACGGCTGCTTAGAGAAAAGTCTTCATCATTTTTTTTTGAGCACAATTAACAGAGGAATGTCTCGAGTGAGGACAGAGATGAAACCGATATCAATCGTGAAAAAATCAAGACTGGTTCTAACTTTGATCGAAAGGATCATCTGTATTATCTTGAAAAAGTATTATTGAAAAATCTTTCAATCGATCTCTTAAGTAAGTCATCGGCCTTGGAACATCTCTGACACTTAAATTCAAATTTTAGCAGACTTAGAAGGAATTTTGAAGTGCTTCTTACAACGACATCGCCTAGAACGATGAGGTCAATAATCCTAAACTATTTCAAAAATTGTTGTTAAATTTTCATCAGTGACTTTGTAAAGATAAATCGAAACATCATGACTCTTTCTCCTTTCAGTAGAAAACTTAGTAATATTTACATCACGTGACTTATCCTATATAACATGTCTTTTTATCTAGGTACAACTCGAACATTATTTATCCCAGGTGGTACAACAACATTTGGTCGTGTAGCAGCTGGCGGTTTCGCTGAATATCTTCAACATGCTAATCAACTTGATGTTGATCCATTAACTGGTTCAGCATTAACAAATAATGGTAATCTACCAGGTACAGCAACAGCACGTATACTTGTTGGTAATGGTGCTGATTCTGATGCATTACGATTTTTACATGATCAAATGTTAATGGATATAGCACCACAAGCTAATGAAGGAAATGAAAATATTGATGGTACAAAAATTTATATGATACGCACACCATTAGCACGTTGGATTGAAGAAAGTGTTGTACTTGATGGACCATATGTACATGATACTGTCTTAGCATTGAAATCTAAAATAACTGAACCATTAGAAAAACAATATGAAGCAGAATTACAAGTTGTTTTAGCTAAAAAAGCTAAAGATGATGAAGAACGTAAGAAACGTTCAGATGAAAAAGCACGACAAGATGCTGAACGTGCACAAGCAGCAGCTGCGGCTGCAGTTGCAGCTAGTGCTGGATCAACATCAACTACTACAAATGATCAACAATCAACAGAAAATACAACAACAACAACAACAACAACAACTAGTGAACCACTTATATCAGTAACATCATTTAATGATGACGTTAATCTTCGTCAAGAAGAAACATTACTTTCACCACAATTACAACGTTCTGCACAATTACATGCAGCTGCCGCTGCTGCTGCGGCTGCTGCTGCTGAAACAAATCAAGATATGAATACAACTCCTATATCATCAACTAATGATGAATCAACACCAATGAATTTACAACCAGGTGGACAAGGTAGAAAAATCTATCTATTTTTTTATCAAAAACAAATTTTGTATTTTTTGTTAAATTTTAATAGCCACTAGTGATGCTGGTACAAGTCCATTACCAACTGAAAATATGTCTACTGATGGTCAATCACCTGGTCAATTAGCAACATCACCTACAACATCAATGGAAATAAATCATCCATCACCTATAAGAGAAAATCCAATTGAACAACAACAACAAGAACAAGTAACAATTCAACCAGAAACGGCAACAACTGAACAAGTTTCTTCATCAACTACAACTGAACAACTAGCTGCAACTGCTACTGCTGCTTCTGCTTCTGCAGTAACAACAGCACCACCAGTTGAACCTGAAGTTGAATGGACAACATTAGTTATTGATGGTCGTGAATTTCGTGTACCAAGAGCTTTAGAAATTGATCCATCATTTTTAGCTGCTTTACCTGAAGAAATGCGACAAGAAATTTTAACTGATCAAGTACGAAATTTTGAACGTGAAGAAAATCAACGACGTGCACAACGTGCTGCTGCTTATGCTGCAGCTAATCCTACAGCAAATTTAAATTCACAAACAATTGATGGTATGAATAATGAAAATTTATCATCACGTACAAATCAAACAACAAGTGAAGCTGTTATTGGTGAAATGCTTGGTGAAATTAATCCAGAATTTATTTCAGCATTACCACCTGAAATACGTGAAGAATTATTAGCTGAACGTCGTCGTACAGCAGCAACAATGGCTGCTATGAATGGTGTTAATTTACCTGATAGTGGTCCAGCTGAATTTTTACGTACTTTACAACCACATTTACGTCAACAAGTTCTTGCTGATATGGATGAAAGTCAAATAGGTGCATTACCAGAAGATATAGCTAATGAAGCTCGTGCATTACGTGCTGCTATGGAAACTCAACAACAACAATATTTACGTGAACGTATGGTACGTAATCATCATGATATGATGAATATGTTAACAAATAATACACATCATAGTACACGTCCAATACGCATGTATAATTTTCGTGCATTACAAGAAGCACGTAATAATCGTACAGATAGACAACCAACAAATTGGTATTCATTACGTACAGGTGCAAATGCAGGTGATTTAAATAGTAATACATCAACAATAGGTTCACGTGGTCGACAATTACTTGATTATGAATCAATATGTTGTCTATTAATATTATTATTTATTGATGATACACGTTTAAATTTTGCACGTTTACAAAAAGTTTTAAAAAATTTATGTCATCATACACAAACACGACAATGGATTATAAAAGCATTATTATCAATTATAAATAAAAGTACGGGACGTACTGAATATGATGGACCATTAACATCAACACCTGGTGCACCAACACTTTTATTAAAAAATCCACCAATTAATAATCAAATACAAACACAAATAACAACAACAACAACAAATACTAATAATAATGGAAATGAAATTCAACAAATAAAAAATATTAATCCATCATGGTTAACAATTAATTTTGAAAGTGCATTTGGTGCACGTACTAATGTTTTTAAAATTCAACGTATTGGTCATACGAAACGTCATGGTTCAATGCAAATATCTGTACATGCACAAGCATGTCCTATTGTTTGTCGACAAGTACTTGAATCATTAATTATATTAGCAAAAAATTTTCCTGAACAATTTCTTCCATTACCAATAAATAATACTAATGAATCACAACAACAATCAGCAATAGTATCATCAAATGAACAAACAATTAAAAATACATCACCTGATAAACAATTGATAGCAACACCATCAAAAACTTCTCCAAATATACGTGATTTATCATTTTGGGAATTAATTCTTAAATTAGATCAATCATTTAATAATCGTTCAAATCGTTCATCAACTAATCCATTACAAAATATATCATCTATTGTTATTACAAATACAACAGCACCTACTACTGCTACCATAAATGTTACTACTACTAATAATAATAATAATCATCAACGAACAACATTAACATTAAATATAAATAATAATGAAATTGATTTTGAATCATCACCATTAGCTGCATTATTACTTATGCTTGATCATCCAATATTAAATAAAAATAATCAATTAATGGATAAATTATTTAAATTACTTTCAATTATATCACAAAGTTTTCAAGTACATATTATAACAAAAAAAGAAGTTTCACCATTACCATTAGCTACATCAACACCTATGACAACTGAACCACCAAATCAACCAACAACAACAACAACAACAACAGCAGCACCAGTACCAGCAACAACGACAACAAATACAATTCAACAACAAACAAATAATCAAACATTAACAACAAATACAAATAATAAATTAGTTGTATCCGATGATCAAGTTGTTTTAGGTTCACACTTAGATTTAGTTATTAAAGCATTAATATCAAAATCATGTACAGAAGATGGTCTTGAATTTGCAACTATACTTTTATTAAATATATCGAAAATTAATCAAGCTACACGAGATAAAGTTTTACATTTATTACTTAATGGTATTCGTTTATTAGGCAAAGATGTTAGCGAAGAAATTAAGTAAGTTTGCTTTTTCTATTAAAAATATAAGTATAATCTAAAAATTCGTCAGTAAAATTGATGCATTTTGATCATTTCATTTGGAATAATATTTAATAGAAACTAAACTGTTAAAATAACAAATCATAAAATAACAAAAATTGAATTATATATACTTTTTTCTATCTTAATCTTTTTCTTTAATATAAAGTATATTAAAATTATATATATATCTCATTTAGACAATTACATGGTGAAGTACAAGATTATTTATCAAAAAATAAATCCACAACAACAACAGGCAATGATGATGAATCATCAAATACAGGAATAGATGAATCTACAAAATTATTTGATTCATATAAAAGTATACGTTCTAATACACTTACATCAACAACTGTTGATCCAAATGCCAAACAACAAGATTTACAATTACCAGCTATGGTTATGTTAACATCTAAAACTGCAAATCAACAATTTTTATTACGTATTCTTAAAGTTATTATACAATTACGTGAAGCAACAAAAAAAGAACAACTTGATGCTCAAACACATTTTGAAAGTGAACTTCATACATTAACACGTCGTCTTGATACATTACGACAATCATTACGTTCACATATACCAACTGATAATAATAATTCACAAAATGAAATTTTACAACCTATTGATGATTTATCAAATCGTTTAGAACAAATGCGTACACGTTTACAAACAATATTAAATTCAAATACAATTGAACAACGTCAACAATTATTTTCACAACGTGAAACAATAAATGATATACAAGATATATATCGTTTAATTCGACAACTTGAATCATTAATTGAAAATTTTCATGAACCAACATCAACATCAACAACAACAGCAACAACAACAACAACAACAACAATGACATCACGTATAAATGATGTTTTACAAACTATACCACCATTATTTCCACAAATAATTGAACCAATGGATATTGGACAATATTTACCAACACAACAAGTAAAATTAAGTGATTTATTAAATATAAATCAATTATGGGATTCATTAAGTGATTGTTTATTATCATTAGCTAAATTACCTGATCCACATGCTGTTTTAGTACTTCAACCAGCAGTTGAAGCTTTCTTTCTTGTACATGCTGCTGATTTAGATAATGAAAATGATAAAACAAATCGAAAGAAAAAAGATCGTGAAACACGTGAAGCATTATCACATTTAGAATGTTTTGGTCCAGCACCAACAACAACATCTGATGAACAATCAATAAATGAAACATCAACAACAACAGCAACAGCAACAGCAACAAATGATACATCAACACCAACACTTGTTTTACGTACAAATAGTGTACAATCAATATCAACAAATGATTTACCATTAGATGCACAAAAATTTGTTGAATTTGCACGTACACATCGTACTGTATTAAATCAAATATTACGTCAAAGTACACAACATTTAAGTGAAGGACCATTTCATATATTAACAGATTATACATCTATACTTGATTTTGATGTTAAAAGAAAATATTTTCGTCATGAACTTGATCGTTTAAAAGAAAATATACGTGGAGAAGATTTAGCTGTACATGTTCGACGTAATAATGTATTTGAAGATTCATATAGAGAATTAAGTCGACGTTCACCTGAAGATTGGAAACATAGATTTTATATTGTATTTGATGGTGAAGAAGGACAAGATGCTGGTGGTCTTTTACGTGAATGGTATTCAATAATAGCACGTTCAATGTTTGATCCAAATTATGCTTTATTTATGATTAATCCAGGTGATCGTGTTACATATATGCCTAATCCATTATCACATTGTAATGCAAATCATTCACAATATTTTAAATTTATTGGACGTATTATAGCTAAAGCTATATTTGATAATAAATGTATGGATTGTTATTTTACACGTTCATTTTATAAACATATACTTGGTATACCTGTACGTTATACAGATATGGAATCAGTTGATTTACAATTTTATAAAAATTTAGTTATGTTATTAGAAAATGATATACATCAATTAGGTTTAGATTTAACATTTTCATTAGATGCAAGTGAATTTGGTGTTAATAAAGTTATTGAATTAATAACAAATGGTTCAACTATAGTTGTAACAAATGAAAATAAACATGAATATGTTCGACTTGTTTGTCAAGAAAAAATGATTGGTTCTATTCGACAACAAATTAATGCATTTTTAGAAGGTTTTTATACAATTATACCAAAAAGTTTAATATCAATATTTAATGAACAAGAATTAGAATTATTAATATCAGGTTTACCAGATATTGATATTGAAGATCTTAAAGCAAATACAGAATATCATAAATACAGACCAAACTCTTTACAAGTAAATACCAATTTTCTTTTTTACTTCACTTCTATATTTTTCAGCAATCAAAAAGACACTGAATAGGATTAACAACAAGATTTAGACTGTCTTAGAATATTACAAAAGTTTCCTTGAAATTTGAATGATTTCAATACATATATGAATGTTCGAGTCATTTTATGATCAAGATAAATATTGTAAATTGAGCAGGTTATAAATTTAAGAAGCAATTAATATCCATATTTTTTGAGTTTATCAAGATCTGTAATAGATTACCATAGGCTTATTTGTCAGTTAAATCAACAATTAAAATAAGAATAAAATAAAACACGAAATACGGAAATACAAAACACCATAGCGACAAATCTTCGTTCGAAGTGCAAAAATAAATAAATATTTCTCTGAAATAGAAGACTCCACGAGATGAATCAATGTAAAAGAGGTATTAGAAGCCTTAGAGGTTCTATTATATCTAAAAAGTCTCACTTTTTCGAGTAAAGCTTCTTAGATAACTATTAAATTTGTCTTGGTCAGACGCCATCTACGTATAAAATATATGTTCAGATGTCAAATATTTATGCTACTTTATCTAAAGTATAGAGTGGGTGTGTAAGTCTTCTCTTCGACATTACCATTTAAAAATAACTATAATCTGCCAGAGGCTTTTTTATTTGACGTATTTATTATTAATGTAATGAGGTGAGACAGAAATATATGTGAGTTCCACATTTTAATCTCAAAAAGGTTGTGCTGACAGATCTTTTTTTTTATTCTTCATGAAATAAAACAAATATTGTTTTCTATTTAGGTTCAATGGTTTTGGCGTGCATTGCGGTCATTCGATAAAGAAGATTTAGCAAAATTTTTACAATTTGTTACAGGTACATCAAAAGTACCATTACAAGGTTTTGCTCATTTAGAAGGTATGAATGGTGCACAGAAATTTCAAATACATCGTGATGATCGATCAACTGATCGTTTACCATCAGCTCACACTTGGTAAGTTATTATTTTTCTTATTATTTTTTTTTTAATTATATAATTTATATATGTTTTTGTGTTTAGTTTCAATCAACTTGATCTCCCAGCTTATGAAAGTTATGATAAATTACGTAAAATGCTTTTAATTGCAATCCGTGAATGTGCTGGATTCGGATTCGCTTAAAATAACGCATATTCTGTCTATGGCCTGTTAAAAGCAACAGCTAGTCTTTCGCCGTTATTTGCTATTTTGTTGTGTTTTTTTTTTCTTTCATTCTTTCTCTATATATGTTCTCGTTTGTTTTTTTCAAATATCATGAAACGGATATTAGAACTCTCACATTCTCTCCTTTGGTTGGAATTGATCAATATTAGATTGATTGACAGTGAATTTTTCCTTGTGCGCCGGTCATTTTTTTCTTTTAATCCGATCTATCCAACGGTTCTGTTCATTTGTGTGTGCGTGTGTGTTTTCTCTCTTTCTCTATATAAAAATCTTTATGCGCTATAGATGCATTCCTAGGCTAGCGGTATTCTAATCCGCATTATTCTCTTCATGGTTACTATTATTCTTTTGATGTTATTTGATTAGAGAAGAAACAAAACCATATGAATGTTCGGCGCTTTATTTCTATTTTATGTATATAAATAAACGAGAAAAGAAGAATTGTTCAATCTCGTTTTTTTTTTTATTTATTCATCCGAGAGAAGTTTTTTTTAACCGACTCCCTCCACAATGGGATTCTAAGAATAAACTCAGCAAGGATAAACTAACTATTTTAATTGTTGAAATGAATGCAAATAGAAACAGTTTACCTCTAGGAAAGTAAGAGGCAGTATGACATGTTCCTAGAATCCATTAGTATGTATTTATAGGTTGCAACAATGGTTAACAATGGGTTTATAATTAGTGAAAGCCATTATTGAAAGAGCTTTTGATTAATATACTCATCAATTGAGGATTCAATTTCAGTACCAATACTTATGATGCTATTTTTTCTTGGTTATGGATATCGCCGAGTGTCTCAAGAAAGCGGAAGGAAACATGTTATGAGTGAAACGAGAAATATATAATACTTGAAAAACTTCGAGTTTATGAAATTTGCTACTTTTCTATGTGATAAAGACTACAAATATCAGATGAATCAACCACAACTATCAGGCAATATATTGAATTCATCATTGTTTCTATCTAAATAACAAGTTCATCATGTCGTTCAGTATTGTTTTTTTTGTAGAATAAAATGTCAAATCTATACAGTTACTTTCAACGTATTGAGCCCAAAAAAATGGCCGCTACAACGACAAATGATGGATCAAATAGTCAAACGAACAATACACCAAAACATGATAATAATGGACTTAAAAAAAAGAATCAAACACCAAAAGAATCATTAGCATCATCACGTAAATCAATGAATATGAGTGATGTCTATAGTGCTGATTCACCAAAATCTGAAAAACGAAAAAAGTCATCAACAATTGCAATTGATGATAATGATACATCACCAAAAAATAAAAGTAAATCAATACTAGAAATAAAAATTAAAAAATAATTATTTTCTAATATAGAACGAAAAACACTCAATGCACGAAATGAATCAGAAAATGACGATGATGATGAACCAGAACTTAAAGTCAGCAAAGTAAATAAAAGATTTATTGAATATCAAAAATAAAACACAATCAATTTTTTTCAGAGTCAAAATCGAAAACGTATAGCTATTCTTGATAGTGATGATGAAGAATTAGAAAATGGTAGAATATTTTTTTCATGTTACTTTTTTTTTTAAAATTTATTATGGTTATAGATCGTATGGATGTTGATGTTACACCATTAAATAAAAGAACAACTAAAAATGGTACAAAAGCAAAAGGTAATAATTCGACTCGAACATCAAGAAAGAAAAAAACCGAAGAAAGTGAAGATGAAGAGGTTTTATACAATGATGGTTCAGCAGATGAAAGTGATGAAGGCGAACCTGAAGAATATGAAGATGATGATGAAGATCAAGTATAAATAAATTTTATTTACATTAAAAAAAAACCAACATATGTATTTATTTTTTTTTCCTATGAAAGACAAAAACACCGAAACGTCGAACAACAACTTTAAATAGAGAGAAAAAAGCAGTTAAACATGCTAATGATAATAATTTTACACATCTTTCTTTGGACTTTCTCAAAGATGGAAACCGACGGTAAGTTTGATGTTAAAATTTTCTGAATATACTATACTAAAATTGACTTATTTAATATAATATATGTTATCATAACATGTGACTATTATGTTTATGTCACTTTTTTTGACATCAATTGAATTATAATCAGTTACATGTAAAATATTTTTTTTTTGATCTTGTCAAACTTTAGCCTTACAACCAAGATTTATTTTATTTTCAATGTATTTTGTGTAATGATGTTACAATTGATTATCATTTCCAATAAATAGAATGAGTTTGACGACGTTTTGAGAGATAAAAAAAGAAAGTTAATTTGACTACATTGTATAAAAATTTGATTCAATCGATTAATTTGATTTTTATTCATCGATATTGAATAATATTTACCCTATAATAAAATACTACTATGATCCAGATTTTGTTAACAAAAATTTTTTTAATAATTTTTAACGACTATTCGTTTTTTTTTTTGTGTATTCATAGTGATGCTAATCGTCGTCTTCACACTGATCCAAGTATGTTCATAAATAAAACTAATTTCTTTTGTATAGTTATCTTTTTTTTTTGCTATTCATTATTTAGATTATGATCCACGTACATTGTATGTTCCAGATGAGTATCTTAATACTCTTACACCTGTAAGTTGTATTCATGATGCTTTTATAGCAATCTATACAATTGTTTTTCCTTCTATTTTCAAGGCAATGCGTCAATGGTGGTCATTGAAAACGGAATATTTTGATACAATTCTTTTTTTCAAAGTAACTAATCTTTCTTTATATTCTTATTATACAACGATTAAGCTTTCTTTGTTTGATACTATAGGTTGGCAAATTCTATGAACTTTGTATGTTAACGATTTTATATTTAAAAAAGATCACTTTTGTTCTCTATATTTAATAGATAATATGGATGCTGTTGTTTGTGCACCAGAATTAAATTTAACAATGATGAAAGGTAAATAATTTTAGCGATTTAAATATATATATATATATTATTCTTTAATCGAAGGTGGAATGGCTCACTGTGGTTTTCCTGAAAAAGCATATAGTAAATTTGCTGATATACTTGTTACAAAAGGTTATAAAGTAGCACGAGTTGAACAAACAGAAACACCAAATATGATGAAAGAACGTCTTGAACAACGTATGTATATAAATATATTTATTTATTCTTATATATATATATAGATGTTTTCCATAATGAATTTTCTTATAGAATCAGGACGAAAAAATAAATTTGATAAAACAGTACGTCGAGAAATTTGTCAGATAACTACACCCGGTACAAAAACATTTAATACATTAGATAATGATAATGTGTTTCGTGAAAGTTTATATTTATTATGTATTGTTGAAGTGGTATGTTTATTTAAATAATAAGACAAGAAAAATTATTTGATTTTTTTTTTTGTTTCACTTTAGCCAATTACCGATAATAAAATAACACCATGCGAATTCGGTGTATGTTTTGTTGATACAACTATTGCACAATTTTATGTATGTTTGAAGATTTTTTAAAATTTTTATTATGAGTTTTTCTTTTCGTCTAGATTGGTCAATTTGAAGATGATCGATATTTATCACGTTTACAAACTTTACTTGCTCACTATCCGCCAGTACAAGTAATATTTGTTTTCTGTTATTTTGTGTTTTTTTTAATATTATTTATATTTTGATTAGATTTTATGTGAAAAAAATAAATTATCAGAAAAAACAAGAAAAGTTTTAACATTAACTCATGCTAAAATTGAATATTTAATACCAAATAAAGAAATGTATGAAACAACAAAAACACTTGATATTCTTCGAGATGATACATATTTCAAAGATGAAAAAGGAAATCTTCAATGGCCAGATGTTTTTCAACATGTTTTTAATGAAGGTAAAGAATCAACCTATGATGCAAAAGTCTTAACACAATATATTCACTTATTTTTCGGTCATTAAAAAATAATTAGTTTAAGCCAGAAGCAATTAATTAGAAGTCGACTGACGTGAATTATTCTTTCCGCATATATATTCAAAGTTTTCTTTCGGACTAAAATTGAACAACCATCAGTTAAGTTTTGTAAGAAAAGTTCAACAATGTATCTGTACAAAATGAAATAGTGATTTTCCCTCAGTCTTTAGTTTGTGTCTTGAAACTAGAGCTCTTCAAGCCGGATCCGACAGGTTCTATTTGAAATAGCTTCAACCCAACATTATTGTATTGCATTGAATTCTGTATAAAATACAATATTATAATACTAAAAATCTCATCGATGCGTTTCTACTAAATAACTAGTTTCTTTAGTAATTGGCATGAGTACAAATAAATAGCTGCTTCAAAAAATGTTTTTTAATATACGAAAGTTTTTAAATCAGTCATGCAAAAGTAAACAGCAGGCTTTGTAATTTAATATGTTTCAATCGAAATACAAAATTGACCTAGAGTAGTATACAGTGTAAGCATCTTTTTGAATCTTTTAAAACAATCTAATGATAGTTGTCTATTTTACTTTAGAAAGTAAATCTGAATACGTATTTTAAAAGAACGAAAAATTCTGTTTCTAACTAACTGTTTCAGGCTAGATATCTACAGAGTAGAGTAAGGGTAGGAAAATATTTCTCAACCAGAAGCAGCTTATCGAGCATATTTCTACTTCAAAATTTAACGAGCTGTCTTTAAGTGGTCGAAAAATGAGTGAATACTTGATGCCAAAAGCTCTGCACTACAGGTTATATGTTAAATCTCATTGTTTATTATACAAAAATAATTTTGTAGGTGATCAACAAGGTTTACATGTTCGTTCAAATTTTCAATTATCAATGCAAGCATTAGGTGGTATTATTTGGTAAGTTTATTGATATTATTAAATTTTTAATAGAATTCTTTATCTAGGTATTTACAACATTGTCTTGTCGATAAAGAACTTTTATCAATGCGAAAATTTTCAATATTTCAACCACCTGATGAAAATATTGAACTTAAAGAAGTATCAATATTTCAACAACAAAAT